GACCGCGGCCTCGACCGCTGTTTGTATACAGTGCAGAGTGAGAAACTCCGGAGGCGGAATCTGCAATACTCAATTTTTGCTCGATTTCAAGATTTATTTCTTCAGAGGTTAGCCACCCAGAGAGTTGGTTGAGACTTATATTCTCATTGTTCATCCGTATATTTTGCTTGAAGGAGGAATATTCATGAGGGAGGCCTCGGATAACAGCATTCACCACATCTCTCTCAGGAATAACCTCGTTGAGAGCATCCAAATCGGTGAGGATAGTGGCAACTTCATCAAGGTACTGGGTGATAGTTTTTGTACCTTTTCGGAGTGTGTGAAGTTTGTCCCGTAGTTGATAGATGTGAGCGGTAGAAACAGAATTATACCGGGCAGCAAGAGCGTTCCATAGATCGGCAGATGTCGTGAAGTTGCGGACATGCTTGTGAACAGACGGACTGATGACGGCAAGAAGGCATGCACGGATATGAGTATCAATCTCAATCCATGTTTGGAATTATGGGTTAGGGTTTTCCTTGCCATCCTTGGATAGGATTTTTGGAGGCGCAGCTTCATGACCATCGATCCAACCAAGAAGAAGGTTGGCCTCGAGAGCAGTTTTGACATTGAGAGACCATGCAGGATAATTTGAATCGGTGAGCTTCTCTGGGATAAGATTATGGAGATTGTGGAGAAGAAGCTTGACGCCAGAAGGAAGCGAAGCAAGCGGATCTGAAGATTGAGCCATGGTTGTTGTTTATGGTCGACCGGCGAGAGGAAGGAGACCGGCGGCGGTGAAGGCACAGTCTCGAAAAAAAGGGCTAAGGTTTAAACCTAGGCTCTGATACCATGATACAATTTGATAATAATTTGTCTTATTGAATATTGAGAGATATGTTCCTATATATAGGGATTACAAGAGAGAGTCCTATTCCTAGTAGGAAAGGAATAAAGTAATTATGGTAATACAAGAATAAGTAAACTAAATAATATTAGGAGTCTTCCTATTAAAAATGTTTTTAGAAAACCTAGAAATGAGTCTAGGAATTTTAATTCTAGGGACAATGATTTTAGATCACCTAGATATTACTTGGCTCAACCTAGGCACATGCACAACCCGAACGTAATATGTTACTATTGCAATCGGGTAGGTCACATAGCACCCGTATGTTTTACTAAACATAGGGATTTATTTTGTGATTTTGATTATTTTGTTCCTAACCATCAAGGACTCAAAAGTGGTTGGGTGCCAAATTATTATTTTTAGATATCCATGGAAGGTGTGCTTGAAGACTACAAATTTGTAGTGGAGGCTCCAAGCACTTCGCCAAAGAGATTGCATCAAAGGGGAGTCATTATATATTTTTTAATGAATTTATGTAAAAAAATTTGGGGAATATACATAGGATGTCTTGCATATAGTAAGGGGGAATTTATTGCTATATGTGTTAATGCTTTTGTATGCTTTATTTTTTTTGGGAAAGATAGCATACTTTAAGGAGGAAGTATTTTATTTCCTAGAAATGCATGATTTTAGGGGGAATGTGATTTTTTCTTAATTGTTTAGAAATTTTTTCTCTCCCCGGAATGCATGAGTTCTTTTGTTGCATTATTTTTGATAATGCCAAAAGGGGGAGGAGCATATGCTTTAATTTGTTATTTGTTGCTAGCATATCCTCCATGTGTTTGTCATTATCAAAAAGGAGAAAATTGTTGGAATGCATGAGTTCAACCTTTTTTGTGTTGTTAAGTGTTGACTCACAGGTTTTGATATTTGACAAACACAATCTATTCAAGTCAAGATCAAAGTGCTACAACGACAAACACGAAGACTTGAAGTGCCTTTCCTTGAAGTATTCAAGAAGGTGAACATGATTTTATTGGAGTCCAAGACGCGTGTGGAGCGTCTAATAAGGTGCACAGGATTTTATTCTCGGGGAACTGGACTAGCCACGAGGTGGTGAACCAGTATACATCGGTGTGTTCTTTGCCTTCTCTCTTTTATTTCCGCTGCACTTTCGTTTATATTTTTAATCTTAAGAAAATCGGTAAACATCCTCAACAACTCTATTCACCCCCTCTAGAGTTGCACGCATTGTCTAACAACCGGAACAAAAGGATGGCTCACAAATCTCAAGGAGAAAAGTCATGGACATGTGACCATTGGAGACAAATCCCGGAAGAAAGTCATTGGTAAAGGTACGATAGGTATTTCAAGTGATTTTTCAATAAATGATGTTTATCTTGTTGATGGCCTAAAATTTAACTTAATTAGCATAAGCCAACTTTGTGAGAATGGCCACAAAACTGAGTTTAATGCAAATTCCTGTGTTTTATATGGCCAAAATAAAGATGAAATCATTTTTGAGGCTAAAAGAGATGGAAACTTATACAAGTTCAATTCCAATGACTTAAGCAACTCAAAAATCACTTTTCTTACTATTTCATTTGAATTTTCAACTTTATGGCACCGTAGACTAGGACATGCTAGTTATGATCTTTTGAGAAAACTTTACTCAAAAGAACTTGTTGTTGGGCTACCAAAAATGAGCATACCTACTTCACATTTTTGTGATGCTTGCTCCCTTGGAAAACAACATAAAGTTTCATTTAAGCCCGTAAAAATGGTTTTAACGTCAAGGCCACTTGAACTATTACATATGGATTTATTTGGGCCCGTAGACGTTCAAAGCCTAGGTGGAGCTAGTTTTACTTTTGTAATTGTAGATGATTTTTCTCGCTATACTTGGACTATATTACTTGCCAATAAAGATGATGCGTTTAATGCGTTTGTTAAGTTGTGCAAGAGAATCCAAAATGAGAAAGGTTATGAAATAACCTCTATTAAAAGTGATAGAGGAGGAGAATACCGGAACACCGACTTTGAAACATATTGTGATGAACACGGTATTTCTCACAACTTTTCGGCTCTTAGAACACCTCAACAAAATGGAGTCGTTGAAAGGAAAAATAGGACCTTGCAAGAAATGTCAAGGACTATGTTGAATGAACACAACTTACCTCAATATTTTTGGGGAGAAGCGGTCAACACGGCATGCTATGAACTTTGGAAAGGTAGAAAACCAAACATTTCCTATTTCAAAGTTTTTGGGTGTAAATGCTATATTTTGAATACCAAGGATCATTTAGGCAAATTTGAGCCTAAATAAAATAAAGGAATTTTCCTTGGTTATTCAACAAATAGTAGAGCCTATAGGGTATATAATAAATCAAATAATAAAGTAGAAGAATCTATGCATGTAAAATTTGATGAAACCGATCCCTTTGGGTCGAGTAAGGTGATTGCAGGTTCAAATGAAGAAGAAGAGGAAGAAGAAATCCTGGAAATTCCTGCGCAAGAAGAAGAAAGTGCAAAGAAGGAACTACCAAAGGCATACAAACACTTGAAAAATCATCCAAGAGACAATATCATTGGAGATATTGAAAAGGGAGTTAGAACTAGGAACAATTACAATCTTTGTGCACACTATGCGTTCGTTAGTCAATTTGAACCTAAGAACGTAGAAGATGTGCTAAAAGATAGTGATTGGATTATATCCATTCAACTAGAGCTTGAGCAATTTGAACGCAACAAGGTTTGGGAACTAGTCGAAAGACCGGAAAACCTACCTGTTGTGGGCACTAAATGGGTCTTTATAAACAAGCTTGATGAAAATGGTGTAATTATCACCAATAAAAGTCGACTTGTTGCTAAATGCTATAGCCAAGTTGAAGGACTTGACTATGATGAAACTTTTGCTCCGGTTGCTAGGCTTGAATCTATTCAAATGTTATTAGCTTTTGCAAGTGCTCTAAATTTCAAACTTTTTCAAATGGATGTAAAAAGTGCTTTTCTAAATGGATGGTTGAAAGAAGAAGTTTATGTTGAACAACCTCCCGGTTTTGAAAATCCTGATTTTCCAAATCATGTTTTTAAACTTCATAAGGCTCTTTATGGACTCAAACAAGCTCCTAGAGCTTGGTATGAGTGGCTTACCGAACATCTTATCTCACATGGATTTGCAAAAGGAAAGATCGATTCCACACTTTTTATCAAAACAAAAGGAAAAGATCTCATAATTGTGCAAATTTATGTTGATGATTTTATTTTTGGGTCAACTAATGAAGCCTTATGTAACGAATTTTTAGGAATTATGACAAGCAAATTTGAAATGAGTATGATGGGTGAGTTGAACTTCTAGCGGAAGTTCAACCTTGAAGACTCAAAAACATATTTGACTCCAATGAGCACATCCTTGAAGCTTGATAGCGACGAAAGCAGAAAACCCATAAATGAAAAGGTATATCGAGGTATGATTGGTAGTTTGCTTTATTTAACTGCATCAAGACCCGATATAATGTTTTCCGTTTGTCTTTGTGCATGTTTCAATCATCACCCATAGAATCACATCTTAATGCCGTCAAGCGAATAATTCGTTATGTCAAAGGAACCACCAATATGGGTTTATGGGATCCCAAGAATACGAATTTAAGTTTGATAGGTTTTAGTGATGCTGACTTTGGCGGGTGTCGTATTGATTGGAAAAGCACAAGTGGCACATGTCAATTCAAAAAAGTACCTGTTTTTTGTGATAACTCTAGTGCAATAAATATTTCCAAAAATCCCGTTTTGCATTCTAGAACTAAACATATAGAAATAAGACATCATTTCATACGTGATCATGTTGCAAAGGGAGACATTCAAATTGAATATCTAAATACGCTTGAACAACGTGCCGACATATTTACAAAACCATTGGATGAAAAACAATTTTTACATATTTGTCAGGAAAGGGGAATGCTTGAATTAAAGTGAAATTTAAGGTTCTTATTATCCCATTATATCATAAAAATAAATTGATCACGTCCAAATGCTGAAAACACGCGTCTAGAAGTCGAAACAAAACATTAAGCTGAGACACGGTACCCCTGACGGTACCCAGGTCCTGTCCTAAATAGGTGCTGCAAGAGAAAAGTGGGATTTTGAAGTTACACGGTAGCTGGACACGGTATGGCGTACTGTATACACGGTACCAAGGTACCGTTAACACGGTACCTAGGTACTGACCGTCGCGACAAGTCAAACTGTTTTAAAAACCCTAGACCAACACCATTTCGATCAGTTGCAACGACCTCTCTCTCCCGGTGTCTCCTCCCGTCTCTTTCTACCATCCTTCAATCCAAGGTATTTTCATTCCAATTTCATCATTTTCATCATCCATTAGATTCAATTCTTCGTGTATTATCTTCAATCCATCTCTTTGGTATCAATTCTCACTCTTTTCGCCCAAAAGTCATTATCTTCTCAATTTTCTCCCAAAATGAGTGAAATTGTTTCCAATGATCAAGTTGATGCTCAAGCCGGGTTCAAGGCTTACGCCGACCCACATATCATCGAGGGAAGAAGCCTTAAAGAAGATGACATCCCAGTTCCCGTTTTTGAACTTATTTAAGAACAAGGTTGGAGTTTTTTTCTTCAACTCCAAGCCCCCGTTTACCCGGAACTTGTTCATCAATTTTATTCTTCGATGAAATATCATCCCCAAGACCCTTCCATTACCACCGTTGTTGCCGGCAAAACCTTCGGATTCAATACCCAAAACCTTTCCGAATGGTTTCACCTAGGGCGTCAAGGAGTCTCCACCTATTGCAAAAAGGGGTGGATTACCGACTCACGAAATTTTAACTCCGATTCTTGCCTCCGAGTGCTAAATAAAATTGCCCTTGACCATGTCTTTGAGGACCCGCACTACTTTCTTCGTAGGCCAAATGTCCAAGACTTACCCACAAATAGGTTCATCCTCCTCAAAATCCTCAAAGAAAATGTCATCCTGGTCCTTAACAAAGATAAACAAGTTGGGGTTTATGAATGCACTCTCTTATATTGGCTCTTCACTCACAAGAAAATAAATCTTCCTTCCATCATCCTTAAACACATGCACGAATGCTCCAATCGCCTAAACAAACCCTATTGCATGCTTCATACCCACATGTTTGCCAAGAGGGAAATTCTTGAGGTGCGCCCTTCTCGTGTCCGCTATCTTGACGCGGAGTGCCTTGGCTATTGTGGCCTTGTAAAGATTGGAGAGGAGTATTACATGAAGAAGGAGTTTCAAAATCTTGATGAAGCGACACGAGCGGAGTATGGTCCTCGGCGTTCTATGTCATCTTTGCCTTCCACTTCACGAGCACCCCGAGCCGTAGACGAAGAAAATGCCAACACGGAGGTCCCCGTTCGTGCTCCACGGGTCAAACGCTCAAAGTCGGCGTCTCATGCTTCCTCGGCCTCTCTCATGCATCGTCACTCCCACATGGCCTCCACTTCCAAAAATCCTTTCAAGAAGTTCAAGAAATTCATTCTCACGAAACTTAAAGAAAGCCTCGATGATCTCTCGGATCGGATGAAGAAGATGGAGGACCGTGAGAATCGCCAAAAGCAAAACGAGGATCGTGCTTCTAGACGCCGCTAAGTGTTGAGCATTTGACAATATTGATCAAACATTATATATTTTGCCTAAGTTTTAAAACTCTTTGTCATGTTTATGTTTCAAACTCTTATTTATGCACTTGTATGACTCAAACTCCTTTGTTGTTGAAGAATGAATATTTTCCAATAATAATAATAGGGATATTACAAGTGTATATATACATGGGGGTTTCCTAGTTAGGGTAGGAAACACATTTGGTAACCTATACACTTATGGTAATTACAATAATTACAATATTAAATATAGTAAAAGTATATTTAACATGCTCCCGACGGCACTGGTAATGAAGGCCGAACTCCCAAGTAGTCCCGACACTCAGAGAAGATGATGGATGGGAGACCCTTCGTGAAGATGTCTGCATACTGTAGTGATAAAGGGACATGAAGTACACGAACCTGTCCAAGAGCTACTCTGTCATGAACAAAATGAATATCAACCTCGATATGCTTCGTGTGCTGGTGCTTGACAGGATTTGCAGATAAATAGACTGCGCTAATGTTGTCACAAAAGACAAGTGTGGAGTGGCTAAGAGGCTTCTGAAGCTCGAGGAGAAGGTTCCGAATCCAACTGACTTCGGCAACTGCATTCGCTACTGCTCTGTATTCGGCCTCGGCGCTGGATCTAGACGTGGTAAGTTGGCGCTTGGAGGACCAGGATATGAGGTTGTCGCCAAGGAAGATGCAATATCCGGATGTGGATCACCGAGTGTCTGGGCATCCAGCCCAGTCGGCATCGGAGTAGGCGTGCATATGGTTCGTTTGTGACGGAGTGATGGAGATGCCGTGGGAAGGTGTGCCATAGAGATACCGGAGGACCCGCTTCATAGCGGTGACGTGGGGCGTGCGTGGTGCATGGAGGAAGAGGCATAGCTGCTGGACTGCATAAGTGATATCTGGACGAGTGAAAGTCAAGTACTGCAGTGCCCCAATGATGGACCGGTACATTGAGGGGTCCGCTGCGGTTGAGCCTCCGGAGGCCGACATCTTACCCCGTGTGTCAACCGGGGTGGAGACCGGTTTGCAAGATAGCATGCCCGCCCGATCTAGGATGTCATACAGGAACTGTGTCTGTGTGAGAAATAGGCCATGAGCGGTGCGTTGAACATTAATGCCGAGGAAAAAGTGAAGGTCCCCCATGTCAGTCATGGCAAACTCCCCCTTCAAGTGCTGGATGACCGTCTGTAGTAGGCCCTGTGAGGAGGCTGTGAGAATGATGTCATCTACGTAGAGTAGGAGAAAAGCCATCTGAGACCCCTGGCCAATTGTGAAAAAGGAAGTGTCGCTATTGCAGCCACGGAACCCAAGAGATAATAAGAAGCTGGTGAAGCGCTGGTACCAGGACCGAGGCGCCTGTATCCGTCCATAGAGCGCCTTGTTCAATTTGCAGACATAATGTGGCCGAGATGGGTCTTGGAACCCGGATGGTTAAGCCGTGTAGACCGTCTCAGTGAGTTCTCTATGTAGAAAAGCATTCTTGACATCCAGTTGATGAATCGGCCACCCACGAGACACAGCAAGACTGAGAATGATCCGTATAGTCGCTAGCTTGACCACCGGGCTGAAAGTCTCGTCATAATCAATTCCATGCCGCTGATTAAAACCGCGAACAACCCATCGAGCTTTGTACCTGGACAGTTCCCCTATAGGGCTAAGTTTGTGTCTAAAAAGCCATTTGCCAGAGATAATGTTTTGGTTAGGGGAGGGGGGTACTAAATCCCATGTATTATTAGCAATCAAAGCATTATATTCATCTAACATAGCATTGTACCAGTTTGGATCTTTAAAGGCACTCCGGTAGGTGGGGGGGGATAGGGGAAATGCAGGCAACGGTGTTCAGGTTTAGGTTGTTTTTAGGGCAAAAAATACCGGCTTTGGCTCGGGTGATCA